AAACCCTCGTATCTCTCGTAAACCCTCGTAAACCCTCGTAAACCCTCGTAAACCCTCGTAAACCCTCGTAAACCCTCGTAGACTCTCGGAAACCTACGTAAACCCTAAACCGCCCCAAACCTCAATAAACCCTAAACAATAATAAACCACAAATCCAATCAAGACAAACCAACAATAAACACAAACCCTCAGAAAACCCTAAACCTCGTAAGCCACAAACCCTAGCCGACTATACCCTAGTTAACCCTCGTAAACCCTAAACCCTACTAAACCCTAAACCCTACTAAACCCTAAACCCTACTAAACCCTAAACACTCTCGCTCGCGGCGTTTGTGGTGAAGCGTTCCATAAAGAAGGTTGCGAGCAATGGGCAGTCTGCCGCAAAGGCCTTAGGGTTTAGGGTTTAGGGTTTAGGGTTTAGGGTTTAGGGTTTACGTATAAGGCGTCGGGCTGATTGATGTTGAGGGCACTTTGAATTGCTTTTGTTGCTGCTGCTCCTGAAAAAGAAAAGTCTGTGAAGAGTAAACCGGCAAAGGGCTTCGGAACAAAACAAACAAACAAACGAAGCAAATCAGACAGAGGCATCATCCTATACACCCCGTGTCTTGCTGCTGCTGCTCCTGCTGCTGCTCCTGCTGCTGCTCCTGCTGCTGCTCCTGCTGCACCTCCTGCTGCTGCTCCTGCTGCTGCTCCACTAAACCCTAAACCCTACTAAACCCTAAACCCTACTAAACCCTAAACACTCTCGCTCGCGGCGTTTGTGGTGAAGCGTTCCATAAAGAAGGTTGCGAGCAATGGGCAGTCTGCCGCAAAGGCCTTAGGGTTTAGGGTTTAGGGTTTAGGGTTTAGGGTTTAGGGTTTACGTATAAGGCGTCGGGCTGATTGATGTTGAGGGCACTTTGAATTGCTTTTGTTGCTGCTGCTCCTGAAAAAGAAAAGTCTGTGAAGAGTAAACCGGCAAAGGGCTTCGGAACAAAACAAACAAACAAACGAAGCAAATCAGACAGAGGCATCATCCTATACACCCCGTGTCTTGCTGCTGCTGCTCCTGCTGCTGCTCCTGCTGCTGCTCCTGCTGCTGCTCCTGCTGCACCTCCTGCTGCTGCTCCTGCTGCTGCTCCTGCTGCTGCTGTCTCGCGGCAGGGTATGAGGATCTTCGCAGGATATAGGGAGTCTCTGAAAGGAAACACAAACGCACACTCTTGCTGCTGCTGCTGCTGATTCTAATGCTGCTGCTATTGCTGCTGCAGCAGCGACTTGTGCTGCTATTTGTGCAGCAGCTGCAGCAGGTGAAGCAGCAGCAGCAGCAGCAGCAGCAGCAGCAGCAACAGCAGCAAGAGCGGCGCCCATTTCGCAGCAAAAGCTGCAGGACGCAACAAGAAATGTCTGTAGCATCAGCACTGGCAGCAGCAGCAGCAGCAGCATTACCAGCAGCAGCAGCATTGCCACCACTACAAACTGCCGCAGCAGAACAACGGCAGTAGGAGGAGCTGCAGCAGCAACATCAGCATCATCATCACCATCATCATCCGCAGCAGCAGAAACTGCAGCAGCAGCAGCAGCAACAGCAGCAACAGCAGCTAACCGTTGCTGCAGGCGTTTGACCTCCTCCTCATCCTTTTCTAAGTTGCTGCATCTCGAAAGCGCCAAACTCCAACGGCGGCTGCTGCGGCCGCGACGCTCGTACAAATATAGATGCTGCTGCTGCTGCTGCTGCTGCTGCTGTTGCTGCTGGGAATGCGGCGACGGCGTTGACTCACGCTGCTCTAGCTGCTGGTCTTTCTGCGGCTGCTGCTGTTGCTGCTGCTCCTCTGGCTCATGCTGCTGCTGTGGTTGTTGCTGCAGTTGCTGCAGTTGCTGCTTTTGGTGCTGCTGCTGCTGCTGCTGCTGCTGCGGGGACTCATCCTCTTCTTCATCTGCCAGCATTATACTAATTCCCTCCTGCAGCACTATTCTCTGCTGCTGCAGCAGCATCTTGAGCTGCTGCTGCTGCTGTTGCAGGTGCACCCTCTGTATCTGCTGCTGCTGTTGCTGCTATTGTTGTTGTTGCTGCTGCTGCTGCTACGGCTCCTGCTCCTAGCCAGCAGCAACGGACCCGGCGGAGCAGCAATGAGTGCAAAGCTGCAGCACAACTGTTGTTACTCCTCTTGTTGCTACTACTGCTGCTGTTGCTGCTGCTCCTGTTATTGCTGCTGCTGCTCCTGCTCCTGTTATTGCTGCTGCTGCTGCTATTGCTGCTGTTGCTGCTGCTGCTCCTGCTCCTGCCGCCCTAAGCGTTGTTGTCTCGGCAGTGGTTGGAGGTTGTACTGTTTACAACCAAAGTTTGCTGCTGCAGCAAGTCGCACCTGCTGTTGCTGCTGCTGTTGCAGCTGGTGTTGCTGCTGCTGCTGCGTTGTCTTGCCTTCCCGCTGCTGCTGCTGCTGCTGCCGCTGGTTGTTCTACAAGCCGTTGTTAACTGCTAATGCTTCTGCTTCTTCAGATTCTTCTTTGCTGCTGCTGCTGCTGCTGCAGCGAAGGAGCGGGCATTCAGTGTGCGCGTGGACCAGTGGAGCAGCAGCAGCAGCAGCAGCAGCAGCAGCAAAGACAACGACTATTAAAAGGAGCGCTCGGCTGCTTCAGGGATCTAATGTCATAATTTAAGAATTTAGGGTTTAGGGTTTAGGGTTTAGAGTTTGAGGTGTGCATGTCTATCCTCTTCGTCATCAACAGCTGCTGTTGCTG